TCCCTACATGTGCAAAAAGTTCTTAAAAACAACTATCAGTCACTTTTTCATTTAACTTCCTGCAAAATCCTTCAAAAAGCATGTCATCTGCTGCTCATTTGCGATTCCATGAAAACAAAATTAGTACCAATTGCCTTTCTGTTCCTTATGTAAAATCGTAAATTAGCCAAACTATGTCTAACTGCTAAGTTTCATATTAGTCAAAAGATATAACATAGAATATTGTAAACTACATATAACATGCACACCTAAGGTGCTACACCCCCGCCTAAAAAAAAAAAGGAAGAAAAAAAAAAAAAAAAGAGCGAGAACAGCATCAGATGTTACTGAAAGATGAACTAGCACTTGACATCTTTTTGCTCAAAATCCTTTACTTCAGCTTGGGAGGGAAAATGTGACAGTCCCGAAAGATGCTGGTCATCTCTTTTACATGACTTGTCTATGAAGACAGTATATAGGGACATCACCTTTATGGGCTTTATTAAAAACCAAAAACCTTAGCATTGTATTTGCATTTTCTTAATCCCATAATTCAAAGTTGTGGAACATGTGGCATTCCACTACAGCACGGGTGCTTAGCCCCTGGCCTGCGTGCTAGATCCAGCCTGCATAGTCATGTCACCTAGTCTGTGGGGCTCTCCACTGCTCTGGAAATTTGCTGGCAGGGGAGTGGTGGCAATTAACACCAGCACTGGTCCTCCATCACCAAATTTTCAGGCTCTGAGTGGTGGGATTGGAATCCAGCCCACGACCAACCTGGCACTGCTCATTTGGCCCATGGGGTAAAAAACAGTGGGCACCATTGCACTACATGGATGTCATCAGCAATGTCCTGAGGACGATTTCTGATGAACTACATAACCACTGTGCAGCCTGATGGGAATTCTCATCTTAGACATCAACTTTCAGTAAAGCTCAATTCCAAGATGAAGTAGAAATATACAATGCCCGTATCTCTTTAAAAGAAATGCTTTTGCAACTGTTATAAATATGTCCTCTTGAAATAGATAAAACAAATGTTGTATCCAATTCTATCTGCAAGCCCACTCTAGGAAAATATCCACTAAATGATTCAAATGTGTAGTTAAGCATTTCATGGGAACTCTAGCATCACATGCTGAGGAACCCTTAATACTGAAAGGCTGTCAGTGAATACCTCTTACTCAAAGTCATATTTCTATTAGCTAGTTAAATTATACCCTAAATAGGGTTATTGGTATTTGCTCCTAGTCAGAACGGTTTCACTGTGACAGCTGCAGGAAAGGGGGACACACCACATTACAATATACAGTCAGTCTTTCTTCCAGCCAACATTGACCTCAAGAGGCAAAGAGCCTAAATAAACCTATGCTTGCTTTAGAACTGAACTGTTTCACTGTTTGCCAGGAACAACATCAGAATAATCCTTCAGCACTCCAGCCAAATGATCATTGTGAGTCTTAAATCTTCGTTTCTTCTGAGAAGCAGGTTTCTTCCTCCTCTGAATGGGAGCCTGAAAGGAAAAGCAAAACAACAGTTACAAAGACATCCCTCCAACTGTAGAAGAATCTAACTATAGCATGCTATGCTATTCATCAAAGTCCCAAATAGTGTTGTAAAGTACTCTTGTGGAGGGGCAGAAGGCAGGGCAGAGTGGTACCTTAGACACTAACTGGTTCAGAGAAGGGTTAAGTTTTTGTAGGCAATAACCCACTTTGTCAGATGCTATGAATGTACTAGCACAGTGGTTTTCAACCTGTGATCTGTGGATCCCAAGGGGTCTGCAGACTGTGTAAGGGATCCACAAAACATGACTCTGATCAATTAAAAGCATACGAATACCCACACTTACAATTCAAAGGGGTCTGCATCTTCATTCAAAATGTTTTAGGGGTCCACAAAAGAAAAAAGGTTGAAAACCACTGTACTAGCAGAACTAAAAGATTATACATAGAAGGAAAGAGAGGTAATTGGACTGATTAGATTAACTGAGATAACAAGGCAGTTAACACCTGGAGGGAATAGGAGTCAACAGCTAGTCCAGGTACTGGGATAAGAATCCACAGAGTCCTGGTTGTGTCCCTGGTGAATACAATTCAGTCTATGGACAATTTCTATTTTTTAAAGTATTTTTGTTTTAAGGAAAGCTCAACCAAGGAGGTAAAAGTATTCTACCACAGGCTTATGTATGTTTCTGGAGCAGATGTCTATGTAACATCCATGTTCATTCTTTTGTGTAGGGCTTATCTTAGCTGGCTAAGGTGGGCAGTAGAGGGCACTGTAAGCAGGTTACAGCATATAATTGATTGAAGAGCAGATGAATACTGAATTATTATAATTTAGTTCAGTGATGCGGCCTATGCTGATGAGGGGGCACAACTGACATCTAGGTCAGTAGCAAAGCCTAGTGATGTGATGAGAATTGGACATAGGTAGTTCAGTGCTGAAGAGTCCATGGTGCCACTCTGCCCCATCTTCTTCTGCCTGACTTCAAACCAACATGGCTAGCTAGCTACCTCTGTGGAGGGAGCTAATTTTTTCAATTTTTCAAAACATTCACTTATGTCAAATACGAATGAATAGGGATGCATAGAACATCCTTCTACTCCTTGCAGAGAATTATTGTCAAATCACTTTGTTTATGTTTGTAAGCACAAGCAGAAAATATTACAAATGCCACCAGTGGCAACAGTGACTGTCCCCACTGACATTCCATTTAGGGTTTCAAGCGACTGATAGGAACCTCTGGCAATAGCCCTGTATCAACAGGCACCATAATGTGGAGATAAACAAAACAAGGGACAAATATTATTTTTACTATCACATCATATAATCATTTGATAAATGAGTTGAGTCTGAGATCAAAGGCAGAGAGAACAAATCAGATACACTGTATGTAACTAGATGTCAAAAGTCCTGTTTTGGTCTTCCCACAAAACACTGCTATATTATTCCCAGTCTGGACTACATGCTTTTCATTAGGACTTAACTTAGCTACGTGCAAGTGTGTGGGAGTAATCTTCTCCCTGCCATCTTAAGTAATTTTCACTTCATCATTTATGTATCATATAGCTTTTAAAAGCCACTTGCAAGTCTGCAGTGGCTTTTACTGTTTCCGTATTTCCCCTCATTACTGATGCTTTGAGGATACTCTTCCCAGCAAGTTCTAAGAACATAAACCTGCTGGCCGTATTGCTAGAGTTACTATCTTTAGATCTGACCTCAGTTAAGTGAGCATTATATGCAGTAATTGTATGTTCCTTTTAGCTGATTCTTTTTCTACTAAAAGTAATATTGGAGTTGCTAAGGAAAAAGGTCCTTTTTCAAAGACTTGCAATTCATAACTCTTACTATTTTCTTTGGTCCAGCTTCCTGCATGGAAGAAATACCCTGTCGTTTCAGATACTCTTCAATTTTCTCTTCATCCATAGAATCTACAGGAATGCTCCTCCATAATTTCTGAAATTCTAAAATGCCAAACAAAGCATTCATTCCATATTGTGATGAATATAAAACACCGGTAAAAAAGAACATCCCATTCATGGAAAATAAGCATGTGCAAACACAAATCGCCCAACATTCCTGTGTATGTAGTATCATATAATGATATACATGAGGCCTCTGCTAACCATACCATCAGTGGCAACAGAGAATATGCACAATTTTAGTCACTCAAAGTGCTAATTGCATTTTGGGAAAGAAAATATGTAATTATAGAGGTAAGCTGAAATTTGTTTCGGTGTTAAACATGCTCCAGAATGCACATAGTAGCAGCATAATAACAACTCAGTATTGGTTTTGGCCTTTTCTGAAAGCACTTGCACAGGTTTTTACACTTCAAGGTCATTTAAAACATCAATTCAAAAGAACCTCAGGTTTGGTATTACCTAACCACAGGAGCCAGCTTCATTTATTAATATTCAGCTGCCATTATCACAGGACTCTCTACCATCTGCCTTTTACTCTCTGAAGATTAAATATACTTACTCCATTAATTGGTTGAAGGTATTATTGCTGTAATATAAACAGTGTTATACAGTTAATGAATTTTAAAACTCCTCTGACATTAAAGAGAAAATAATGGAAGTGGAAAAGAACAGAGAAGCAACATCTCAATTAGAGCAGCTGCCAGCCACACTGAACGTGCTACCTATCATGTCAGGTCCATGTATGCCTTGAAATGTCTTATCCAGGTAGCAACTGGTACAATTCCACTTCCCTTAATCCCATGGGCATTAAGTTATGTAGTCCCTATCAGCAGGTTTGGCTAACAAGTCATAAATAAAACAGTAGCAGTAAAAGGCTAGATTATTTTCTTTATTTTGAGATCCATTCAGTATACAGCTGTCAACACCACTACAGCACTTAAGTATTTTGTGCAGTATGCCTTAAAGCAGGGGCGGGCAAAATATGGCTTGCAGGCTGAATCCGGCCCACCAGGCAATTCCATCTGGTCCACGGGGCCCCTCCATAAGCCCTCTGTAAACCCTGGCCCTGGGTTGCCCCTCTACAAGCTGGCACCTTCATGCAGGAGGTGTGGCTCTAGTTGCTAAGCAACCACACTGGCCCACCCCAACCTGGCCAACCCGCCCCAGCCCCAAGCCAGAGGGCGCTGGAGACAAGAAGCCTCTGCCTGGCAGAGCTTTTGCCTGGTCACCTGGAAGAGTGGACATTCAGATATGACCCTGCCAGACAGGAGGTCAGGGACTCCTGTTGGGGGAAGGGGGCAGAAGCATGGGGAACCATGAACTATGGGGCCAGCCGGGCTGGCTCCACATGCTGCAGGAGCTGTGTGCTATGGGGCCAGGTGGGGCTGGCCTCACATGCTGCCACCACTACATGCAACCGGGAACTTGGGTAAGAGCTGAGCGCTATAGGGCTGGGTTGGGCTGGTCCTGCACACTGTCGCCACGTGAGGCCAGGGACAGGGGTAAGAGCATGGGAGCTGCAGCTATGGGGTTGGGCAGGGATGGCTCTGCACCCTGCCACCACGTGCGGCCAGGGACTCAGGCAGGAGTGGAGAAGCTGTGTGTTATGGGGCTGGGTGGGGCTGGCCCCATACACTGCTGCCGCCTACAGTCAGGGACTGGGGTGGGAGCATGGGGAACTGCATGCTGTGGGGCCGAGCAGGGCTGGCCCCGCTTGCTGCCACGACATACAGCTCCAGGGACTTGCATTCAAGGGACTCCAAGGATTCCCCCCACCCCTGACCATACCCCCAAACATACCCACACCCACTCACAGGTCCCCCACACACTGCCACACCCCCCACTATACAAACTCACACACCCTCCCACACACCCCACCCCCAAACACACTCAGACCCTTCCACAGCCCACAAACACACTCCTACCCCCCACACTTCCCTACTCCAACATACCCACACACACACACACCCTGCCAGACCCCCACCCAACCACATACCCCACACCCACTGCCCATACCCACACCCCATCCACAGCCCTCCCACATACACCACCTCACAATATACAAGTGTAAGAGTATTTTGAGCTATTACACAATTGCCTCTAGATACATTATGCAAACACACACAAATCCGGACAAAAATATTTTTTAGAAATAAAATAAAAATAAGTTACAGTAGATGTTTGATTTTTTGTTCCAGTTCCAAGATGGCACCTCCCCCTGCCAAAAGGAGTGCTTCCAGGGCAAGAGGAGGGACTTTTGGTGGCAAAGATCTGGGGTTGGGGAGGGACTTCTCATCCCAAGATGGCAACCAAGGGGTAGAGCACCTGTCAAGGGGCGAGGTTACTCTGCGGCTCTGGATAGCTCACCAAAACTTGTTAAGCAGCCCTCCAGACAAAATAATTTCCCACCCCTGCTTTAAAAACTTAGTGCTGGTAAATATTCAACTGCATAATCTGTTTTAGATGCAATGGTTCTACTGGCACACTTGGTTAGCTCAAGAACAAAGTAGTAAAGAAAAAGTTTCAGAATTTGTAAACTCAGTTACCCTTTTTTGACTTTTCACTAATTGAAATGTTGTTTCTATAAAAAAAGACCGTACGATATTCTAATAGGGCCCCTACCCCATTATAGAGAAGGGAGAGCAAGCGCCGGGGAATGCTGGCCAGCGAAGCCCTTGGGAACAGACTGGATGGTAGAAGCACCTGGGTAAGCACTCACCACAGGGCCAGTGGTGGTGGCAGCATCTGAGACTGGAGTCCTGCATAGAATCACAACAGAGACCAGCAGCAGTGAGCCACCCTAAGGCTGAGCCAGCAAGCTGAATCAAGGAGCACCTGCAGCAGGTCAGGGAGGCAGGTGATCAGCAGAGGGCAGGGCTAGGGAGATATATAAACACAGGCCCTGAGCCAGAGGAGGGCAGTCTGGCCCTGGAGGCTGAAGGGGAAGGAGCCCCACAGCAGACTGCTGAGAAAAGCATGAGTGAGATCTTGCTATCCTGGAGACAGGCCAGTAAGGAGCTGAGGGCTGGCAGAGACAGAGGCTCAGTCTGCATGGGGAATTTCAGACAGCCAATGTGCTGGAGAATTAAGTCAGTAGGCTCATGTTTCGGTCTATGTTTTGCCTGGTTGTTTGTGGAAGGGACTAACAGGAGGTTTGGAGGTCCCATTAGTGCCTGAGGGGAATGTGATCACCTGGAGCCCTGCCAGGGGTAAGGCTCAAGGAAGAATTTGGGGGCCAGAGGGCCCAGTGCAGGGCAGAGCTTGGGGCCAGGTGACCCAGAGCCCAGAGCTGGGTGGAGACAGGAGCCATGGGCTCAGTGAGAGCTGAAGCAGGCTCAATGCTCACAATGGGCTGGGACCCAGAAGCCAGGTCCAGCACAATGGGCCTAGGCTACGGGAACCAGTGAAAGAAAAAGGGGGCTGAGGCCAGAAAGACAGAGACCCCAGTAAGGCTATAAAGGCCTGAGGTGGCCTGGTGTCACATTGGGGTCAAGTGCCCACCGAAACCATGCAAATAGCCCTGAAGGCATAACTGGTGCCCTGAAAGAACCAACTGGCACCTAGAGGTACTAGGGCTTATCCTGGGACCTATTACGCAGCCTCCATTGCAACTAAATAGTTGCATCTAAAGCATGGTGAACAAGTTAGAAGGGGAGGGCACCCTGGGGCTAAAGCAGTACGCAGGATCATGGGACCCCCAGAGGGCACGCTAGCCACCCCTGGAGCACTAGACTGGTTACCGATATGCTCTAAGAATCAGTTCACCCCCTCATCCTTCCCAATAAAAAGGCAGTATTTTAATTTTCCACAAAATAAAGGCACAGAGTTTTAAAAATTACAAGAGTACTGCATTTGCAGTAAAGTAATTTTTCAACAATAGTATAATCAACTTGATTTTAAAGCCATTCTTCTTTGCCTGTGAGATGAAGTGCACTGTGTGTAGATTTTTTAAAATCCAATTAAGTCATTTGTGAATGTGCACAGAAACCATTTGGTAACATTTTCCTCATATGTCATGTATTTCTTCATGCTGATAAATGTACATTATCTAGGTAACTGTATGGACCTCAGTCAGATTTAAGCACCTTCAAAATTTTTGTACTAGAAAGAATCTCTTCCCCCAATCTCCATCAACCCCCCCCGACCTTTTTTTTGGATAGGGGATAAGAAATGCCTTTCTTTTAATTTGCTGGACAAAAATAAATAAATCACACCCTTCTTCTCAGGCTCTACATTCCCCTCACAGTCTCAGATCTAGACAATTGCTTTGTGTTTTAGTATTAAGTCTACCCCTGAAAGTGAAACTTTTAGCCAACTTTGTGTAAACAGTGACACTACTACTTTCTAGGCAGAACAAACTAGCATATTCCACCTTTACTGAGAAATCATTTTGGGGGGAAACTCCTAAGTTTGGTCATGGTCTATGATCCAGTATTATTTGCCACAGCCCTGATCCAGTTTTGGCAGCTTCAGAAAATTGGGACATGGTCCATTATCCTTCATAATGCAAGGATGAGATGTTGTCAGTAATGGACACAGGACTTTTTTCAAAAGAAACCCAAGTGGTAATCCTGCCACTTTGAAGGTGTATAAGGTACATACTCTTTGTTCAGGCTGTTTTTGTACTGTTTGATTCCCCCCGTCAAAAGACTTGGTTTTTTTAGGTAAGCATTATCAGTGTGAAAGAAACATTACCTCTTTATTTATGAGAAACAAATGTCCTAACTTAAATATTTAATGTTTTCACGTGATAGGCTACTTAGAAATATATGCAATGAATATACAATACATCCCCCAATAAACAAACGTATACCTTTGCCTGTGATATACTACATTACTTTTCTAAGCTGCACAACATGCGATTGCTAGTACAGCCCCAAACTAACACAGGTGATATACAATATGTGATATACACATACATACTAAGTAGCAACAATCTGGGGCCCTCCAAGTGTTATGAAAGTTCAAAACCAGTGGTTCTCAACTTTCTTTTAGATTCAAGGCATGTCTTGTTAGACTTTACACCAGGGGTGAGCAGA